TCAAAAGTAACAATTGGCTTATACGAGGTTTAAAATTTATAGGCCAATTATTTATACCTTTTATCCCATTATTTATGCCAACGGAGATTGGGAAAAAGTTTGTTAGTTAACAATTGAATAACTTTTTGAAAAATGGTGATGAAACTTTTTTTCTTCAATCTTATTCTGTTAATAACAATTGCAATTTTTTACCTGCACAAAAATCCTTCAAAAACATTTTTCTAGAGGTGATTTGGAATAGAATATTCGAAAAGTGCTCATATTTTTAGGACTTTCGTCTCTATTTTTCATGTTTTTGAACTTGTTGATTAGACTAGTAATATCAATGTAATTGATATTACTATTACAAGTAGTTAACAATTCAAACGTCATTCATATTTCACACATTCGGTAGAAATATCTTATCGCTTCTGAAAAATTCTCAGTATGAACATTCAACATGTTTTCTCTTCCTCTTCCCATTTTTTATTTGTTTCTTCTTTCTTTGTTTTTTCTCTAGTTTATTCAAGGCTAGAACTAAGATCAACAGTACCCTGGTACATTTTGTTTCTAGCCTAATTAGAATTTTTTTTTTTAGTTTTATAGATCAAATAAATATTTGAATTCATATGTTATAAGGAACTACAAATGAATATTATTATTATCTGTTTACTCACCCCAAGAAGTGAAAACACTATATTTCAAATTCACAATCACAGGTATCACAATATACCTTCACGTGACTGGTTTCACAAAGTGTTCAATGTACTCTGTAAGCCACAAAACTGATGTTTGATAATCAAATTCATCTATTTATCTATATTTATTACCTGATGGAGGCAAACAAGTTATTGAAACAAATCATAACTGACAAAGAAACTATCATAAGAGACAAGGAACACATAATACTCTTACTCAACGAGAAAATTTACACTCTGAAATTAAAATTTATTCAGTGTTGGGAACATAAACCTATTCAAGGAAAACTATTCGACAAAGTAACAAAAAACTCAAAGGATCTCGCTATTGATGAGAACAAAAACAGCTACCAACAAAAAATTGAGCCCATAAAAACAAATTCAAACACTAACAAAACCATAACTCAATCTATAAACAAAACAAAGGTGAACCCGAAAAACAAAATGATGGACCTCAAGCGGGAGGAAGCTCTAGTATACAGGATGACCCGAATAAAAGAATGATGCAAGTTTCCACCGAACTTATGAAGATTCATACTTTGCAAAAGTTTGATGAAATTAGAAATTCAGCAAGGGACAATATACAGAAATTAGAAAAGAAAGAATTGAGAGTGATGACTTCAGAACCGTGGTGAAACGCAGGAGGCATAAAGTAGGTAGTGGAGAAGGTGACAGTGAATTAAGAGGAAATGAGGACTCAGAAAAGAAAATATGGCTGTTCATTACCAGAGTACCTGATAAAGTATCTGGTGATAACATACAAAAATACATAAACACCCGTACAAAATCACAAAACATTAATGTGAAAAAACTACCCATACATAGCAATAGATAAGATAACCAATTCTTCATGATAGGAGTTGAACCACAACTACAGCAGCAAATATACGACACGAATTTTTGGCCAAGGGTTTAGTCGCTTCAATTTCAAACTTGAACAACGCTTTCTTGATAATCCCCAACAAAAATCGGAAGTGACTCAAGGAGACACGCGGCATCAAGCTAATTCTTTTTTATAAATAAGAGATCAAATTCCTAATTACACTCAAACTATGAAATTCATTCAGAAGGCATCTCTTTATACTATCAAAATATTCAATGTCTCAGAAACAAAATACTGGCTATTGAACAATTCCTTTCAAACAACTCTTCAATAAAATACGCATGTTTCACGCGAGTGAAATTGAATTCAATAATTTTCTACTTCAGAATGGTAAGCTATTTCTGTAGGATAAACAAAAAAAATGGAGGCTCCTGCATTTATGTTCACCAGAATTTCAATGCTACTGAGCTATCAGTTATAACTCAGCGTTCTTGTGAACAGGTTTGCGAAGTCTCTGCTTGCTACGTGAAATCTCTGAAATTGATAATAAGAAATTTGTATAGAGCACCTGACTATAAGAAAATGGATCAGTTCCTACAGAAGATGGAACAAATCTTAGAATGTACAGAAACTTTTGAAACAGACACTCATATTTTTCTGGTAGGTGACTTTAATGTCCATTTTAATAACAAAAATGATTTCAATGCACTAATATTGATTCAGTTGTTCATGTCATTTGGTTTGCAACAACTGATTAATGAAAAAAACTCACAATAAAGGTAATTGTTTGGGCAACATTTTCAGTAATTGTGATTCTGCCAGTGCTTATACTATACTTATTGGACTATCTGACCATTCAGTAGGACTAATTTCGGATATTGATATCGTAATGCTAAATAATACTAGGGAAAAATGGAGTAAAAGGTACAATACAAAAAATATTACAACATTCAGTAACTACCTGAGAAATGAAAGTTGGAACGAAATATATGTAAATAACGTGGCTAAAGATAAATTCAACATATTTGAAAGTACTTTCA